AGGATCATGGGCAGCTTGGTCTTGTAGAGGATCGAGCAGGCATAAAGCATGTTGGACATGAAGGTACTTGTGCTGGTTGTACGTGGCGTGTCGATAATGTACGCAATCACTGTGGGGAACGTGCTGGCTAAACTCGAAAGAAGAATCTCTCCGCTGGCCGACCAGACAAAGACTTCAATCTGACCTGGTGTGTCAACCAGGATGTGCTTGACCTGCGCTTGCTGAACTGGAGCCGCCTGCTTGTCCTTTCCACCGCTTGTCATAAATTCCACAGTGCTAGGCTCTGGCTCTTTTTGAGGCGGCGGCGGCTGCGTTCGCTTTTCTAAGAGACCAATAATCTGGTCGATTTTTGTGCTGAACAAGTTTAAACTTGTCAGGATGCCACCGTTGGGACCCAGATTGAACTGCTTCATGACCTCTTTGTAGTTGACACTATCGCGAATGTCGATGTTGGGTGTGAAAGGAACATGGTGGACGGCGGGGTCGAGGTTGATAATGTAGGGCGGGGTTGGAGGTGTCTTAGATACTGATGGTTCGCTCTTGGTGGGATCGGGGTGTGTGTAGAGGTGGGAGACAAGCCGCTGCATGAAAGTTGTCTTTCCACTTCCTGCCATGCCCACGCATACAATGGAGACGGGCGCATTCGAGGCAGCGGCGGGTGTGGCGCCCTCGGGGGCCTTTGAGGCGGACATGGCGAGGTTTTGTTCGAGTTGAAGCGGCAGCAAGAAGGATTGGAAGTGTTGTGAACAGAAGGTAGTGTAGAGAAGAAAGTAGTAGGTGCTATACAACTCCAGTGAATAACCACCAGACGCGGCCTTCTGGAAATTCTTAGGTGGGGCGGACGCGCTAGAAAACCGCCGCGGTGATGTCAGGCCCGAGCTTTAACGGCGGCTCGAAACTTTGGCCGCACGCGCTCAACGTCGCATAACACGACCAACGACAATTAAAACGACATCGTCGCCAACACCACCAAAATGGGCCTAGAGGAATTCGAAAAGGAGCTTGCGCAGAGCAAGAAAAAAGACGAACAAAAGAAGCGCGACCGGAGCAGGAGTCGCGACAGACATCACCGCAAGCACCGCTCTTCACGCCATCACGACGACGACGAGCACCACCGTTCCAAGAGGTCGCGACACCATCGGGAGACATCTGAAGAGCGTGCGCGACGGAAGCGGAGAGAGCGACATGAAAAGGAAGACCGGTCGCGGCGCAAGCATAGAGAGACTCACTCGAGCGACGATGAGGACCGCCTGACACGAAAGCGCAAATCACGACATTACGACGAAGACGAATCTTCTGGCGACGATGCCCCGCAAGAAAAAGACTACATGCCCCCTGATGATGATATCCTGGACCAGCAGCTCGAGGAGGCCGCTGATGCAGACTTGCAGCGCGACGATTGGATGAAGGCACCATCGTCCATGGATGTTGACTACGTGCAACGAAAGAAGAAGGAGGATAAGTCAACTTATGTCAAAGCATCAGCTGAGCAACAGCATGCGCTCAAGATCCACCAAGCCGAGCTGAACCATCATCTGGCCGACGTCAAGGATGAGCAAGTCCCAGTGGCTGACGAGCCGGCCCAGCGAGAAGTGGGCTACACATTTGGAGACTCCGGATCACAATGGCGCATGACGAAGCTTAAGGGCATATACCGGAATGCGCAGGAATCAGGGCGAAGCGTGGAAGAAGTCGCCATGGAAAAGTACGGCGACCTGCGTGACTTTGACGAGGCGCGCGAGGAAGAGATTGAGCTTGATCGGAGAAAAATGTATGGAAAGGATTATGTGGGCAAAGAGAAGCCATCAGGCGAGCTCTTTGAGGAGCGCAGACTAAAGGCAGGCATTCACCGACTGCCCCGCGACTCTGGAGAAGCAGCAGATATACCCCAGGGCGAAGTTGTCCCTAATCCACAACCAACAGCAAACACGGTTGCACTCAGCCAAACTGAGCTCAACAGACTCAAAGCCCAGATGATGAAGGCCAAGATGAAAAAGGCCCCCGAAGCTGCCCAATTGGAAGCTGAATACAACGCCGCTCTCGCAAACGCATCCGGCTCTAGGGACCGCGATGTCGTCGTCCTTAACGCAATGGACAACCGCATGCTCGCGGGCGGCCGCGAAGGCGAAGTCATCGCGCTTACCAACAAGCGCGGCACCGAGCGCGGCCTCGTCAAAGAAAACGAGGACATGTCCCTTGACGACATGGTCCGCCAGGAGCGCCGCACCAAAGGTCAGCCAGGCGGCGAAGGCCAGCTCCTGGCTTCCAAGATCGCAAAAGACAGCAAATTTGACAATGACCTTGACTACCTCGACGAAAACGCCACCAAACTCGCCGCCCGCGCTCCCAAATCCTCCATCAACCTTCGCAACGCCGCAATCCAAGACTACACCAAAATGTCCCGCATCCTCGACGCCTGCCCTTTGTGCCACCATGAAGACAAGTCACCCCCGCAACCTTCCATCGCCCCCATTATCTCCCTCGCAACCCGCGTCTTCCTCACTCTCCCCACCGAACCAGAAATCAGCACTGGCGGCGCTGTCATAGTCCCCATAGCGCACCGTACCAACCTCCTCGAGTGCGACGACGACGAGTGGGAGGAACTCCGCAATTTCATGAAATGCCTCACCCGTATGTACCACGAGCAAGGCCGCGACGTTGTTTTCTACGAAAACGCTGCGTTCCCTGGTAGAAAGGGGCATGCGGCGTTGAACGCTGTCCCTATCCCGTTCGAGCTAGGCGATATGGCGCCTGCGTTTTTTAAAGAAGCGATTCTCGCCCAAGCTGGGGATTGGACGCAGCATAAGCCGTTGGTGGATACGCAGAAGGCGTCGCGGAACGGCATGGGGAGAGCGGCGTTTCGACGGAGTTTAGCGAAGGAGATGCCGTATTTTCACGTGTGGTTTGAGCTGGATGGCGGACTGGGGCATGTGGTCGAGGACGAGCGGGCGTGGCCGAGGGGCGACTTGTTTGCCAGAGAGGTGCTGGGTGGTATGTTGGATGTTGATGTCGAGGTTGTGAAAAGGCAGGGCAAGTGGGTCAAGGGGGATAGGAGGGTCGAAGGGTGGAGGAAAGGGTGGAGGAAGTTTGATTGGACTAGGGTTTTGACGGAAGGGCAATAGGCCGCTGTTTGTTTGCGAAATATTCATGTGCCATCATGTGCAATATGACAGCGCATACGTGTCGTCACGAAAAAATCCGGTTGTCAAAGTCACTTCATATCAATAATCCACGCTATTAGTTTGGAATGCACGTTGTCCTAAAACCCTTTCCGAAGTATTGGTTTCAATACTCGATATCTACCTAGCATATGAGTCTGTAAGAGCATCAGTAAATCGCTGGCATGCTATTTAGCCAGTCAAGTCAAGCTTCTGTTAATGAGACAGGATTGGTCAATTCAACGGTTACGCTGAATGCATGCAATGGCCAAAGGCTGCAGGACTTGCGTAAATGGCTGGATTTCTGTGTGGGGCCCAAGAGCAATTCCCACCGTATATGTAATAGACTGCAGCTACCCCTCAACCTATCGCCACATTCTTCACCGTCTTTATCAAGGAAATCTTGGTACAATGCCGAGGAAGATTCACGGGTCCATATCATTCGGGACGAGCTCAGAGTTCTCAAACTCATATATCGCAATCTCAGAGGCCTCAAGCTCGAACACTACATTCTTAGACAGTGACGAATAAGATGATAATGAATATATCATCATCAATGTAGACAAGACGAAACTTAGTTCAAGTGTTCTGACTGCCAGACGAACTGCTACCTCAGAGTTTCAAGAAACTTTGCGGGAAGATTGCCAAGAGCTGCACATAATAGCCTCAGTTGCAGCGGTCATTCCAGATAAGACACATCGATTGTCAGTAAAAGTTGTAACAGGTGTTCCGGACGAGAAGGACAGCGATACCGCCTTGGAAGCTCTGCAACATTGGCTGTTAGTCACCAATCCGTCAACATTGTTCATGCTTACATCCAAGAAGGCATCTAAAGACCGAATGTTCATCATTCCAGACGTTCCGAGTTAGTAGCAGTTGAACGAGCCCAAGTTGACACGGTTTCATAGATTTGCTGACCATTACCAGAAAGCGGTACTCAACTTTGCACTGCGATACCACCCAGATGCGATTACGGTCCTCATGTATCTACTCCAGCGGGTTCAAGACGAATTCGAAACAACATCCGCTTATGGAAGCTATATCCAGCCAGGTACAGTCTTGAGATGTAATGGCAAAGATACGAAAAATTCAAAGAAAAACGATGTATCGGTCACTTTCGTTTCGTAGCGATATTTCGATATCAGCAGCAAGAATTGGCCAGATCCTCCGGCTGATGAGTCCCTGCATCTTCCGAAAGGCCTATTCCAGCAACATTATCCACGGGAGGCAGCCCAGGATCGAGATCGTCAGCAGTCCTTCAGCAAGTCCAAAAGACCTGGAACAACATTAAACAATTCCTTACGTGTACCTCAGCTATATGTTTTGGTATTAGGCCCAAATACGGTAATCACATGCGGTCCTTCGACGCTAGCTTCGACATTCCACAACAGCATCGAGTTCATAACACAAGAAGCGCTCCTCCTTGGCTCAACAAGCTTGGTACGGCTTTCAGCGGACTTTGGTCCGAAGACGGTCTCCTATCTACCATTGGAGAGCTGTCAAACCTTTTTTGCACTCAAAGCCATGATTCAAACAGAATGGCTTCAGAACACAGACCATCACATCGATGATTGTATTTTGCATACCTCGGAAGATAACATTGAGCTCGATGCATCACGGTGGCCAAAAGTTGTACAGACTAGGAACTCTTTGTTTGTCCTTGTGCGCATAAGTCTTCGTAACCAGGCAGAATTGCCCACAAATCAAAGCATCACGAAACGACTATTGATCGAATATAGAGGTTTCAACTCTGATGAAGAAGATGGCAAGGCACATGCTACAGTTCACAAAATGTCAGTTGTTAGTCTTGTATCTGTTTCAGCTTAAAAGGTCTAGACTGACATGTCCAGGATATTTGGTGCTGACCGAAATCCACGAAATCCTGATTTACCAATTGACGACCTTCGCGGAGGCAGATGTCGGACAAGCGTGAAGGCCGACAAAGCCCCTAGAAAAGGATCCAAGCCTATCGAATCAATACCGCACCCAGAGATTCAGAACTCTAGTTATAAAAAGGCAACGCAGCGTATCAACGAGGAGTTGCGTGTTCCACCCTTCCTGGCATGGCCTACTACCTATGATGATAAGAAAAACGAAGTAGACTCTCAATCCCCGAATGAAGCTTCGTATCGGATGGATTCTCATGGTGTGCTGATACAAATTACTCTACGTATCATTGATAAGCGAATCTACTGACCCCACGAAAGCTTGAAAGCGGGTCTTTGTGCCGCATCTCTTGTCGTTTGGCAGAAGGGCAATCATCAAACAACTATCTGTGCGAACTCTATTCCTAGGAAACATATCAGTGATGTTTATGTCAAACTCGACTCAAAAGTTCTGACAAACCCGCCTTCCCGCCTGGAGGAATTCATACAGTATCTCGAAACATACGGTGAGGGGGGGTCAGAAAGCTATCCTCCTTCACCAACGAGCTCGTTCCAGAATACAGCCTTCAACAGGGAAGTTTCTGGGCAAGACGTACTTCTATGGCAGGTGGCACGATTATCTGTTGTCCGAAACATATTCGCCAATGGTGTGAAGACCTTAGCTGGTCAATTCGTGCCCAAACATTGTGTATATCCACTTGTAGATCGATGCTGGGGCTCAATCTCAATTGTAGATCAGGTAAGTCGAAATTCTCTGGGATTTGACACTATCACTGAAACACATAGGCTATAATTAAAACATCACGGAAACCCTGTGTACACCACAAAAAAAGGCCATACTAATGGCGGTCCTCCAATGTATATAGTGAGGCACTTACCGAAGGGTGGTTATTCAACAATGCACTCACTAGCGAACCTTGACATTCCAGTCTCTTATTGGGATACTTATGACAACAAATGCCGATATTCCAGTATTTAAGAAGCAATCAGCCATCCTCGTTTGGCACATGTTTCTAAACGAAGCGTTGACGTAGAGCACACTTCAGAATCGCTCGAGCATTGGGTTGTATCCACTGTGGACGCAGATCTGGAGATAGCAACGGAGCGTCTGCTCAAATTTCTCGAAACCTTAAATCGACGTGTGCAAAAGTTGCTATCAAGGGCTGTGGACATGCGCCAGAGTGTCGCCAATGGTTCGCAAGAGCTCAATGACGGATATTACTCACGTTCAACGCTAGTCAAAGCTGCTGAGAAGATTTTCCAATTTTTGTACTACTCAGCATACAATTTCAATGTTCATTGCGAGTTGGGATTTGCGCCAGCGGGGCCTCGACTTCTTGCTGCGTCTCAAGAACATGTTCATGACAAATCTGGGGCGGAAATATTCGCTACTCTTGCCGACCTTGCAATGTCAAAAGCAAGGGACGATCTCTTACTCATGACGCACACTGGCGATGATGCGGGGGCAATATTCCATTTCAAAGCTTCGGCACAGTTCACTATCGACCTGGGTCTCTCAGAGCTCATGGGACGGCCGCTTATGTGGGACATGTCAATCCTGGAGCTATACAGGGATCATCTGTCTGCTCTGGTATGTATTCAAATAACCATATATCCGATTTGGCATATTCTAAGAATTACAGCGCTTCAAAGCCAGCCGTAAGCCTTCGAAGACAGTCTTACGTGAGCTATATCTCTTAGATGAGGAGATTGAAGTTGTTGCGTCTGTATACATGCAACAATATAAGACCGAATATAATCTCTGGAAAGTGCTTGGAGTCAATGAGATTGAAACCAAGCGAGACGTGAGTGCAACTGGAACATCCTGAAATATGAAAAACTAATACCTTACATATAGTGGCGAGATGAATACGTAGAGAATCTGTTTTCTCAATTTCGAAACGACCTAGAAAAAGCCGCCAAAGCGCTACGACACAACATCGAGATCACAGATGAAGGAAACTCCAAAGCAATTCTCATCTTCACGCTCGCAACGATCATATTCTTACCTCTTTCGTTTATTGCCTCGGTGTTTGGCATGAACACCTCGGATATCAGGGACATGAACAGTAACCAGGCGCTTTTCTGGGCGATAGCACTCCCCGTCACCGCGACCATCGGTGCGATATCTCTAGTAGCCGCCTACGGAAATGTATCCATTGTAGATAGAATCCGCAAGCTCAAGAATAACGTCACGATGAAACGGCCCACCACCCAACTCCCTTGGAAACGCATCAAACACAAAACAGACGAAGAGAGGGCAGATGACCCCAACATCGCTGCAATAGCAAAACGAGAACGCCGCTTCAACGCTCACCGCTCTGACCTATGGTTGCACAGTAAGCGTTGGCCAAGCCGCAGACAAAAGACTAATTCGCATGATCCCCGTGTGCTAGTCCGCACCGCAACTGGCAAAACACTGCATACGAAACCCAAACGGAGGGTGCGCGAAGCTGATGCACTGGACAGCTCGGAGAGGCATTGAAGGCGCAGAGGGAGTAGCAATAGACATCGACTTTCCCCCTAATCCAACTCACTGATGAACGTATTCCACTCGTGTTAATGATTAATCCCGTAATACCAATCTGTTCACACTCAATACGCTGCACAAAGGAAACATGAATATAAAACGACGCCAGAAATCTCGTGCTCAGGAACTAAAGAGGGTCGCAGCTTTGACTACACATTACTCTACCTGCCCACTAGTGTAATTGTTTATGTGGGCTGGGTTATGCACTCCTTGAAGCCGATAAGGAATAATCCGCTGTGAATGGTGCACTACAGTGTGAAAGAACGTTTGATCGCGAATACATCCTTTGAATCATTCACCGATAAAATAGACTGGTCTTTTCTTTTTCTTTTTTACAGAGCTGAAGTAAATTTTTACATCATGCAATGAATTCTGCTGATACATCATTCCGCAACATAATTCAACCCTTGTTCGAGACTTCACTGGTGCCCATAAAATCGACTTTATTCCAAAACATTGTACATGGCCGTACATCTTCCAAACATTCACCAACGTATTTTCCACTACCACTTCTTCTCCTCATCCCCATCAAAATCTTTCCCCTGCCTCTCCCTCTCCATCCTGGCATCAAATTCCCGCTGCGCACGCTCACGTTCCCTATTCCTTTCTTCTTCGTCGCCCACAAACGAATACGAATCACCTAGTGTAGACCCCTCTCTGCGTTCGGGCTCTGGTCTTCGCGGTGACTGCCGTTGTGGTTTTTGAAGTGGGACAGGCTGGCCGCCGCGCCGGAGACGGTCCCAGGATGACTCGCCTGATCGAGATTGGGATTGGGATTGGGATTGCGGATTCTTCACTTCGTCTTGGAAGAGGCCACCTGTGGGGGAGGCATCGTCATCGTCGAAAAGAGAAGAAGAGGAAGATGATGACGGCTGTGGAGGTTGACGATTCCAAGAGCCTGTAGATGGCGGTGCCTGTTGCCTTTGCCGAGGCGACTGTGATGAACTACTGTTGGAAAAGGACTCCCAGGTCTCTGAACTAGTAGATTCAGAGCCCCATGCTTCATTACCGGCAGTCGGACTCATATCATCGGCTGCATCGTCACGTTGTGCGGGAGGCTGCTTACCCCATCTGGCTTGTGGTGATGGACCCCCACCTGCACGATTCCTCACTTGCTCTTGGAACTCTCGACGCCGTTCTTCAATCTCACGTCCTTGCTGTACATTCCTCTGTCCCTCGGCGTGCGACGAAGCCTTCAATTCGACGCCAAAATGCTCCAGCTTGGGATCATTGGCTGTGTTGATCGCTGCAAGGGGTTGCGCGATGAGCTGGCCGATTATACTACCCATTTGCCCTGCTACGACCACGTAGAGGCAAAATCGCCATGAGTGTCGCGCAAACTGTGCCATTGGTCCACGGACTGGACCGAATTTATTTACATCAATGTCTTCTACCTTGGGTTGATAAAATGGATATTTCATCTTATCCCATGTACGATACCACTGCCATGTTCCAGCGGCAGCGCCTGTTGCAGCGAAATAACTCTTTGTTTGTTCAAGCTTATAAATGTGGAATGCGAGCGCTTGCGCTTCTTCCAGATTGAGCTGGCGGCCGACCTTGCGCTCGGCGAACTTGAGCGTTGTTTCGGTTTTGAAGCGGACAGCACGTTCAGAGAAGCCCATGAAGGTGCCTATGACGGGTAATGGGCGCGGAAGATTGGTCGCGTCGAAGCGATTGCCATTGTTTAGATGGGCAGGCGAAGATGCGTAGGGATCATTCGAGGATGGGTAAGGATCGTCTGTGAAGCCTTCGGGGGCATTCTTGTCGGCATCTTCAAGCACCATGTTTGGTTACGTGTGATAGAGTCGCAATGTTGTGGGGTTGCTAGGGAAAGTGGGTGGTGAGAGGTCGGGGTTTGATGGAAGCTTTGCCGATGACGGCATCGAACGCAGTCTCGGGATCACCAGGGCCCATATCCGCGATCTGATCTCATGATGCAATGCATGACAGTAAACACAATCCTAGCCCCATCATGAGTAAGCCACTTCAAGAAGACCAGAACATGTTGCACAGCGTGGTGGGTGTTGGAATATTCAAACATGGTCTATTCCCAAATGCCTTCCTCCCAAACGACAATGCTCCTCACGAAAGGCTACGTACTTATACACTACAATAATTTAAACCAGCTACAAGACCAGCCGGGCCATTACGGAAACTCCATATGCACAAGGTGAGGAAAAAAAGAAAAAGAATAGGTTGGTTTGGAAAAGAAACGCCCACCTCTTCGTGTAACGCCACGATTCATACCGTTCGCAACGGCCAACTATGATAGCCGCAAAAGAGAACGCAAAGGAGAACGCAAAGGGACTAATTCCAGCGATCGATGTGGTCTTTTTTCTCGCTCTTGTTGCTTCTTGTATATACTTTGACAGTCGCTAAAAGTGTCATTGTGAGGTGATGATTTGACCAGAAGACTTGCATGATTACGAGTACTTTTATAAGATGACGCAACGGCAGGTAGCTGTTGGCTCGTCGTCGCTCTCTCTCCGGTTCCCAGATTTGCCAATCTTGGCATTTTCTTCTTCGTCGACGACCTCTTGTGGCTTGACGGTCATGTGAACAACATTAGGGGTATCTGTTTGAAATCGGCATTCTGCTGTTTGTTAGTGAATGCTTGACAGGGGCTATATCATGTCTTTCATGCAAGGAATGCATTCAAATCGGATCGACCAATTAGTGTGACCAGCTGAGGAACCGCACAAGCTGTGCCAATGCCCCTGGCGTAATCCAGAATGAGGTCCTTACCTTTGAGTGGCGACTTGTCGTCGAGCATGCGACCAAAATGAATGAGCCTTATTGATCCCGGCGAGGTGGGCCGAGCTTCCCACTCTGTTCATTCGAGTTAGCTTTGTAATGCAGGATTCAATGCGATGCGATGCGCTGTGAGCCACAGTTTCTTCCCCAGCGCTGTTTGGGTGAGGGCAGGTGCAAACAATGCGCCACCAAGAGCAGCATAGCAGCGCGTCACGGCTGACGCCCCGCTTACTCGTGATGAGCGCACCCTGCTCTTGCACAAACTGTAGAGAAAAGTGTATGCGTACCTTCCCGCCAGTCTCGCCATATCAACTCCTTGAGTGTATAGACGCTGATGTTGTATGGGTCCATGTTCTCCACTTTGACACTGCGCTTCTTCAGGTACTTTTCGTCAATCTTGTACGGATGCCTTGCGCCGCTGGTGAGAAGCAGCATTATTACTAGCACAGGCCCGTTCGTGTTGTCTGGGTTTGCGGCCGGTGTGTCTGTCGACGGACCGATGGCCTCAGTGTCTGCGCGATTTAGCGCAGAAGGGGGCGTGAGCTTTCCAGGAGATGAAGGGACGACGGGCGCATCTTCTGAGGTGCTGGACTCGACAGGTTGCTCTGCAGATGCAGCTGCTGGAGCTACAGCGGGTGCGTCTGTGGTGTGCGTGGTCGTGTCTGTAGGCGCTGGTGTTGCACCAGAGGCCTCGAGGGTCTTCATCTCTACCGAACCTGTCGATGGAGGCTCGTTCCTGCTCTGGGGCCGCGATCCTGGGGTCTGTTGGTGTGGAGTAGTTTGTGGTGCCGTGGAGGCTTGATCGGCTGGGGACGACATGGTTGGCCGGCCGACTTCACTCGCGCGACGGATGCGATTGCGGGCAAGTTAAGCGAATGGAAGGCGAACGGGGGGCTGGGAGCGACTCGCAGGTCGGCCTCGACGTCGCAACAAGAGAAATGGCAGCGGGGGAAAAATGGTGTAGTGGTGAGGCGTCTGAAGGGCTCATGCGTGGACGATAGAAGGCTGGCCGGCCGTGCGCGACTGGGAAGTCGCCGTCGCGGCCACCCTCTCCTTCTCCGCAATCCGCAAATGCGGCAAGAACGACCCGCCGTCTCCACTAACAGCCCGCTACTGTTACTCGGCTCTGCACCGCCTCAATATCTCGTCTTCCGTACACATCCTACTACACACTCTCCATTTGCCGGGCTGCCGTCCATTGCCTCACGGTGCATCGCCATGCCAAATGCGTCTCGGCAAACACTGGTTCCCCCGTTGTTGCTGCTCGCCCACCTACAAAACCCGCAATATGCCATATTTGGACTTGTCGTTAAAGCGCGTGCCCCTGCATCACTGGCTCCTTTACAATGATTGGCCGCACCCACTCAGCACTCGTCGCGTTATCGCATGCATTCTGCGCCACATCTTCACAGTTCTGAGTCGACTCGTGCTTCCCTCCTATGCTCTCCTTGGCCGCTTTTCCAAGCTGACAAGAGGAAGTGGTCTTTGGGCACGTGGGGCAGGCTGGTGGCTGAAGAGCCACTGCTTCCTTCATCTAGTACATCACGACTTTGTAATGCCATCATACCTTCATCTCCAAGCACCACAATACCATGGTCATTTTGGCTTCATCGCTTCATTCGTTAATCTTAACCCTAAGTGGGTGGATGCTATGTCCTTGTGATCCGCCAAGACCATTGATACGGGAACAACCTGCTCGAGCCGTGTTATCGTCTATGGTGGCAGTGTACAGTTGCCTTGGTTTGCTGGTCATGTAGCAAGCCTCTACCAGTTCATCTTCATCTTCTTCTCAATCTCCGTGTGGAAGTCTGGGACTTCCCGCAGCTCGTTGCCCGTGAATACGTCCTCCCAGCCAATCTCACAATCCCGTCCCTGGAGAATATCTTTGTGGACACTGCTGCTTCCACCAAGTGCTAATGGTCTCCACTCCCCCGCTTCAGCAATCTTCAGCTCCATACCCCTACGCACGGGTTCGGCAATGCCAAACTGCCGCCTCAGCATCTCCATCTTCAGACGGTCTTGGGTCTCGCGCCACTGAACAAGGCGGGCCTCGAGCGGATGGGCAGATTGCAGAGCAACTGGTGCTGTCGATGACGACGAAGCGGTGGGTGCTACCGATGTGTGGCCAAGGCGAGACCGAAGGGTATCGTGGACGCCGGGAGCCGAAGGTGCAGAGGTTTCAAGCGTAGTTTGCGCAGGGTGCGCCTTGCTGGGGACGAAGCGGAGAGACTAAGCATGTGTAAGTATTGAATGTATGTATGTATTGTATGTGCCTTTGGGCAGCCCACCATTTTGAATCTCGGTGGCGCGCGGGGTTTGTGAGAGTGATGTACGGCCAATCGATGTACCGAACTCGCTGAATTCGGTTGTTCAAGTCGTCGGACTAGTCAAAGGTAAGGTATGGATGTCGAGTGGCAGGTTGTCAAGCAGTTGCTATCAACGGAGCTCTAGGCTACCTGGAGTGACGCGCTTCACTAGCGTCTTGGCAATTGGCCCAAATGCTCGAGGTTTGATGCTACATCGACTCATAGGCACACACCCACACACATTGCCCACACTAAATCATGCCCGTGCCCGTGCCCATGAATATGAATGCTTGCTTGCGTTTCTACTGAAATTATATATTACATAGCCCTTGCAGTCAACATAGCTCCTAAGCTCACCAGACCTGCCATGAGTACGTTAACAGCATTATTGTCCAACAAATCACTCCCAACCTCAATCTTCCTGCTCTCATGCTGCGGATCTGCAACGGCCGTTCCACTTGCTCCGGCTTTCAACATTGCTTTCGAAGCCTTGATCGATCCTGCCGCATCCGTACCGGTGGCCTTGGTAACGCCCTCCTTGCTGTGTACAAGCACCTTTCTTCCTCCCTCACCTTCAACAACCTTGCCCGAGTGTACGTCAACCACGCTAGCCTGCAAGAGAGCTCCTAGAAGAGAATCAAGGAGTGTCCCATTAAAGCCAGCTGCTGTCAATGCAAGAGTATACTTTGTCTTTTCGGCAAAGCTCCAGTCTTTGCAAAATGGCATGAACATCGTAGAACTGAGGGAGATTATCAGTGCGCCGAGTAGTCCCGCACCAAGACCTGTCGTGGTCACTCCGCCGTTTGTGCCAGGCGGGACGATACGCCATGGAGCGGTTATCAGGCGTGGCTTGGATTTCGACAAGATTCCAAGTTCAGATGAAAAGGTATCTGCAGCGACTGCGGCATAGTTTCTAATGCACGTCAGTATCAATTCCATGGCCAAAGTCGAATGCCATACGCTACGATGCCTGTTACCAATATATCACTGTTTCCAGTCCAGCAGAGTCCCTCATCTTCATATCGTCCATCCTTCCTGAGCTGCCAGAGGTGAAGCAGTATTAAAACCGAAGCTATACCGGAGTTTGCGAACACTTGGATATGGTTGCGCGCACCTTCTCCACCGGATGCACCAGTCGCGGACTGAGTAAGCTTTGCTTTAATGTCATGCTTGACCTATATCTTGTTATTTACCGTCTGGTTTGAAGCAAAAATGTGACATACTTTAGTAACGGAACTCCCCGCTAAGAAGAAGACGGCAAGAAGCACTGTGAAAACGCTCCAAGGATGCACGGTATGAATGACGGCTGTCACAAATGCCGCCAGGATGCCAACAGGAGTCAGCGAGTTCCGCGACCACGCTCTATAGATGAGCGCAGCGATTCCAGGGACAGCTATTATGGGCTTCATGACTGATGTTTTGGTTTTGATGTACAGCGACACGGAGATGTGGCACAAAGACCGCGAGCTTGCTTATGTACTTCTTATGGGGTGGGGGCTAGTACATCATTGAACCCCGGCTTGGCATAAACTACTGAAAGTATCAACCCCGACGTCGCAACTTCGCTCATCCCGTTCTTGATGAAATCTTCGAACGATATCAATATCAAGACTTCGCTCGAGGTTTCAAAATGCGCCCTGCAACCTGTCGAATCACAGCCCACTTACTGTTCTAAGCACGACTTCACCCTCTAAAACCAATCTGAAAGATAATGGATGCGCAACGAAATACCTAGAAAATCGACAACATCATTAAGTGCCTGGAGAAAGTTATGTGCGTCCCACTTTTGCCTAGGCATCTACATGGCTAGCCTGGTTGCGTCTGCCTATGGGTCTTGTACTGCCATGGGGTAACTTACGTGAAGCCTAACCCCGAAAGTTGCATCTAATCTGAATTGGAATGACGGTGGAGGCGCAGCATAGAAGCCACCGAGTGTTTCGAGCAACGCAATGCTTGAGAGAGCTAAGCGTTGCTTGGTCGCACTTCAAATTGCTTGAATGCCTTGCATATATGAGATACCCTTACTATGAACACAGCCCGGACACAAAGTGGTGGTTGCCTCGTATCGGCGTGGCTGCGGCTTGCCAATCGCAATTGGGTATTTCCCGGGCTGTGCCAAGGCCAGTGTTGCGATTGGCTCGTCCAGCTCGCCTAATTAGGCATAGCCGACTACTAGACACATCCAGCAATACGAAGAGGATAAGGTGCTCATCTTCAGGCACCTTTGGATAAAGCCATAACTTTTAGATCCGTGAGTTCCGCATTGCAGTTAAGGATGCACTCACCACAGCCACAATGCCCCACCACATTGAACCAGATATTAAACAAAGCGGTATCCGAAAATGTAAGTGATATTACAACCTATTCAGCTCGATTCTCTTTCTTTTTTTCTCAGTATCCCCACAGATAGTTCAGAATGGCTATCTTCCTATTCAAGTATATCCGGGGAAAGCTCCGAGAACGCGAAGCACAAAAGGCTGTTCCTACCACAGATGATTCACACTTGGTGCCTGAGTGCGCGTCAGCGCTTGAAGTTCGAGATGGCGTGAACAATCACAACCACAGAACCTCTCAAGATTCAACAGGAAGCCATATCAACTTCATAACTCCAGAAGAGACAGCACAGCAAAAATCTCAAGATCGCAAAAACAAGATTCGACGATGGAAGTTGCTGTTAGGGCTTGTGTTACCTAACTTCCTAGCCGCTATGGACGTCACCATTGTCGCTCCAGCCATTCCGCTCATCTCATCCCATTTCGGTACGTCAGTCCTTCAAGAAAACTCCGTAACTACAAACAAACTTTCTAACATTCACCTCCAGACAAGCTCTCCGGAAGCTTCAATTGGATCGTAGCAGCCTACACCTTGACATTCACTACATTCATCCCGATGTCTGGGCAATTAGCAGACATCTACGGTCGACACTTTGCTCTGCAATTCGAAATGTTCTGGATCATGATAGGCAGTGTACTCTGTGCCTCTGCTCAATCCTGGGGCATGCTGCTTGTAGGGAGGGCATTGCAAGGGTTAGGTGCTGCGGGTATCATGAACTTGAGCCGGATTATATTGTCGGATGGTACGACGCTGGCTGAGAATTCAAGTGGTAATTCCATATTATCGTTGATCAGTGGGTGCAGGTAAGTCCTTTCCTACATCCTAGCATTCCAATTGACTTGAAGAGCTGATTTTTCGAGAACAGCTACGCGGTAGGACCGGTCATAGGAGGCCACCTCGCAGACGCAGGCTGGCGCTACATTTTCGTCCTCCCCATCGGTGTCGCCGTCCTCGCCATGGTCCTCATCGCCGTGCTCATGCGCAAAGAACTCGTTCACGGCCGCGCAACAACTCAACCTTCAACCTCACATCACAGAACCTACATATCCGGCCTCGCAATCATCGACTGGCCAGGCCTCACAACATTCATCCTCGGCGTCGGCTGCATCATCCTCGCGACGCAATGGGGCGGAACCCAATACGCGTGGTCCTCTCCCGCCGTCATCCTGCCCCTCATCATCGGCACCATCCTAAGCATCCTCTTCTTCACCCACGAGTACCTCCTCGCCCCCAACCGCGCCATGTCGCGCTTTTTCCCCCACCAAATCCCCATGATACCCTCTACCCTGTTCCGCAAAAAGGACACCTCGCTCCTCATGATCATCAATTTCTCCGCGGGAATCAGCATGGTTTGCGCGTTTTACTTTATTTCGTATTACTGGCAGCTTGCAGAGGGGTACTCGCCTAGTCAGGCTGGCGTGCAGTTGCTATACTATACACCCGGTCTGGGCGTGGGTGTCTACTCTGCTGCTCTGATGTGCAATGTATGGCCAGGCCAGACATTCTTCCCTCTGTTCATCGGGTCTATAGTTGAGGCCGTGGGACTCGCGCTGCTTACGTACTCCGTGTCCATCAGGCATACAACAATGGTCAGTGTGTTTCTCGCTGTATCTGGCGCGGGCACAGGATTGCGCTTTATGCCTGTGGCGTTGCATGCGGCGGGGGTATGGTCGACTCGCGTATCTAGTATGCAGTCACTGCTTTCTTTTATGCTGCCGTTGGGCGAGACGGTGGGTATATCAATGATGGGAAGTGTGTTTTCTAACAAGCTTTCTACTTTTCTGGCTCAGATTGCCCGGCACACAGATGGTGCCGCGCTGGGTGGCTCTGGGATTCCGAGTTTGGAACTGCTGGATAGTCTTCCGACAGTGGTCAAGAAAGAGGTGCAGGATGCGGCGGCCAAGGCAGTCATGTGGGCGCTGATTTCCGTGCTGCCGTTTATGGGATTGGCGGTTGTGGCGGCAGTTTTTATGGGGAATGTGTGGATTGGAAAGGCGGAGAAAGAGGCAAAGGATGGGAAGATGGGACGAAAGGCGGAGAAAGGAAAGGTCATGTATGGAATTTATCTGCTCGCCTTGTGTATGGGGAGTGTGGACAAGCAGAAAAGAAATCTGGATGTTGATATGGAGCATGAAGAGGTATTGGCAGAGCAAAAGTAGTGTGCGACGAAAGTCTAGACAAATAGAGTGTAATATACATACTTGTTACGAGGTCGATACTATCCGAGATATTCGATAGATATACCAATACTTCTTAAAATCAACTAAGGAACCCAAACTCATCACTCATCCCAGCAGCTCAGGCTTCTCCAGATCCACTGTCCAAGCGAAACCCTATCCAACCCTCATGCCTCACTCCGCCTAACAAATCCGCTCACTCGGCTCCTTCCACGGCACGCCCAAAATCTCAAAGATCCTCCTCTCACTCCTCCCCTCAATCAACACCCCATCGTTCAACTTTTCCCCTTTCCTCCCTCTCAAAACATCCGTATACAACCCCCTCTGATTAAGCTTCATACCCTTCTTCCTTGCCAATAGCCTCATACTCCTATTGAAGACATCATCACCCGTAAAATACAGCAGCGCGGCACCCGTTTCCTGCTCCGGAACGACCAAGAAATCTATTCTGCGCCAGACGGTGGAGGAAGGGATACAGGATGCACCGTGCCATTTTAAGCTGCTAGAGTCGCTATAACGGGACGCTATTAGCGAGGCTTTGAGAAAGCCCGTCTTGAAGAGATGTGGGATGAGGACTTCAAAAACGGTAGTGCTCATAGCGGTAGGTGACATGTTGGGTCGTGATAGCATGATATCGATGTCGCCTGAGTCCTGTGCTCCGCGGCGGTAGCTTCCCATTATCGTTGCACTGAATTCCGGGTCGATTTCCTTGAGTGCGGCGGCGACAGTGGCGCCGTGGGCTTCGACTTCGGCGCGTGGGATGCGGGAGTTGAAATCATGGTAGTGTTCGAGTCCGATCTTCTGGTTTTCAGAGAGAGTGGCTTTGGTCTTGAGATCTTCGAGGGTGCGATAGCCGGCTTGGATCCATTTGTTAGCATGGACAAGGCCGACGCCATAAATACCGAGGAACAAACGTAGGGCTACGTCTTGAGGGTTGTGGCGGGTACTTTCGAGTCGTCGGAGACGATCTGTGAGCACGATCTCTTCGATTTTTGCGGCAAGGCGTGTACCGATAGAAGGGAGTTTTGCGGCCTGTTCTGCAGTAGTGATCTTGACCGTTTGTTTCTTCAGTGTGGCAACGCATTTTCGATAGCTTAGGCTTCTCCATTGGTCCTGCATGCTGTCGTAGTACTTGCACATTTCTTCTAGTATCTGGATAGTTCGGGCATTGGGGTTCCATGAAATGTGGCTACTGGCACTTGGATCCATACATTGGAAACTGTTCATGTTGAATAACTTCTTGTCTCGCAACGCTGATGCTTTCGACAAAACGCTGAGTCTTTTGAGATAATCGGTGTCCATTGGCAATAGCTCTTGATCCGTTTTCGAGTCCTCCATGGTGTCCACACCTCTTGAATTAAGCTGATCTCCTTCTTCATCTTCATCAATTGGTAGATATGCGAGGGACTTAGCCTCCTGGATGGCTTGGAACAGGGCATCCCCAAATTGATCTCTACCCATCGTTCCGTGGACTATAGCAGCCCCTGGAGAGGACATGATGAAGCTGTCTTCTACTGTTTCTCCGAGAGGACTTGAGGGTGCTGCATCTGTATAGGGATGAGTGGAAGGTACGCTTTCTTCAGTGGGGTGAGAATCGGTCTTCTGTGTCTCCTGTGTCGCTTTCTTTCTTTTGGGGGATTTTATCTTCAGCGAGCCCTGCGACGTATTTGATATATTGGAGAATCCCGGTGTTTGATCAAGTCCGCCTACCCCTTGGGCACCTTTTGCAACAAAGTATGAGACGGTAGGATCTAAGAGCTCCCCACGATTAATACACTGCGGCACATACGGATCGAACTTGACCACCGCGACGTTCTAATTATCTGTTAGCTTACTGTATTGCCAGCTTGAAGTTCACGTACTGGAGGTATTGATCTACCGAGATGCTGCACCAATTGAGTATATGTGTAAGTCCCATCATCGAACATGACGTGTGTGATACTGTCGCTCCATTTGTCCGCCCATGCAGCACCAAGTTGAATGACCTTGTGTATGCGTCTTCGTCGTGCCATGGAGATATCATCATTAGGGTAGAAATAGATAATCTTCTCTTTGAGCAATTGCTTGCTTTCAGAGAAGAGCCTGATATCATTGGCAGGCTTCACAGTTTTTCCGCTTTTGAGCTCACGAGGGATGGCGCCCGCGCGTTTGTAAAACGGGATACTTTCTTTGTCAAATATTTGGGACAGAGATATCGTCCTCTTTAAACGGCTTTTGCCGCTATTCGTACCCACATTACGACCATTGCGTGACTTGGAGATTTGAATACTCTCGGCGGGCTCAGTTGGTGGTACCGTAGATGATCGAGTCAACTTTTGATTAATTTGCCGATTAGAAGTGCGTCGTCTCTCTGTGTGCTCTTCGAACTGTGCCTGTATTTCTCGAGGTGTTGGCCCATTGAAGCTGCCCGAATGACTAAGTAGTAAAGGTACTAGTATTGGTTTTGATTCTTCCAGTGCGCGTTCAAGATTAAGCACACTTTCGTTAGCGGTATATGGCCCGTCGTCCGAGGAATTCAGAAGGGCCTGTTCCTCGAAATAAGTTATTTTAGCTAAGAGCTCGAGGTCCGACATCGCAGTCTAACGCGATTGCAAGTTAATAATAGAAAAAATGACGATTGGGGTTCTTGTTGTTTATAGGAATACTCCAGTTACGTTGGACCAAATACTACACAATATCCAAAACTACGACTCAATCGTGAGGGACGAAGTAAATGTAGGATATTAGATAAGCTGCACTTCGAGCGCTGTGTGCTCAATGATTTTGCAACTATTTATACTGCGCTGGGGCTGCTAGTGAAAGGAGACGCTGAAGACGTATTGGTGAAAGAGTGGAGAAACGCCACCAGGCAGCCGGCGCGTGTCGGATTGTCGGCTGACGCGAAGTCACGTGACGCCACAACTGGTTCCCGAGTACTCACTCTCTTGCCTCGACGTTATTAATTTCACTCCTTGCACTTCGAGTGAGTATAGATCAATCCTACGCATGAGAGTATGAAGGAAATATCAAGAAATGAATATGCACTTTGTTTTGAGTAGTCTATCACTTCTTCTACCGACAATGACCGTGACTAGGCGCGTTACTTCAACCCGACTTAAGATCTAGATGCCATCCTCCTCTTTCCAATCGCAGTACTCTCACTTGCACCGGCCACCTTTTGTGCCAACTTCGCATCAAGCTCGGTTACAACACCCTTTCCAACTGGCTTTCCGAGGTTATTGCTCATTGGCGTAACAACATCACACCGCAGTGATTGTGCAGGGCTCATACGCTCCATCCTCGTGTTGTTCGTCTGAATGAGCAGTCTCTCACGCGAGTCTGCACCAGTGTACGGCTTCCACTCAGCAGCACGAGTGGCGCGGTCGGTATTGGGGTCCAAGTTGCGAATGAAACTTGTCCAGTAGCTGCGTACCTGAGAGATGATGGGCTTGTTGGTGGTAGAGTAGCTGGCTGGCTCTTGGCCATCAGTGCGCTTTAAGCCCCAGAAAGCGTAGACGTTGACGGTATGCCAGGCGCCTAAGCCGGATGCTTGGTCGGCTGGGTCCAGCACGTTGTACTTGTAATTGTATGTAGGCACGTTGTCGCGTGCAATGGCGTTCTGGATGTTCCGTGTTGGGCAATGGCTACCGATATCACCGATCGCATTGGAGGCGTCAGGCCAGAAGAGTCCTTTACCAGGGAAGGCGGGCTTCGTCACCTTCAAGTAGAGGTCGCTAAGGATTGAGATGGAAGAGTTGCTTAGACTTGGGTCCTGGCCTCCTAACCATTTCGCTGCATCGCTTGAGGTGTTGAGACTCTGTGGGGCGTTCCTGGTACCTTCATCTGCGCAAGTGCCCATGATAGTCGGTACCTTGGCGTACTTGCCCTGCTTGAAGAGGTTCACGAGCGAATCAGTGAATAGCTCCCCGTCGATATTGGGATTGAACCAGCAGTTGGAAGATCGGATGGCCGACTCGTTGAGCGCGCGTAGGCAAGAAAGGCCGTCAGTCGCATTGGCGCAACCCTTATCCTGAAGCAAGCATTGATATTGCTCCTCACCCAGCTCTGGCGTACGCATTGTTACCCAAGGGCCTGACTCCATAATGCCACCTACGAACAACCTTTTGCCCGTATTTGCCGCCATCATGAGCGCAACAGATGTTCCACCAGCGCTGACACCATCAAGAACAACATGATCTGGATCACCACCGAATTGACTGATGTGCTTCTTGACCCACTCGAGCAACTTGATCTGGTCGCGTATGCCAGCATTGACATCGCCACCTCCTTCCTTCACCGCTTTGCCGTTGAGGAAACCGTACAGGCCCACACGGTAGCTGAATTGAACAAATACGACTTGGCCATCCGCAACAATTTCGGTGGGATCCCAGTTAGCGCTAGACTGCGAAATGAAACCACCTCCCTGGAAGAAAACCACAACTGGTAATTTCGACTTGGTGGTAGCCTTGGAAGGTGCATACACGCTCAAATAGAGGCAGTCTTCAGCGATATGAAAGCGTGAGTAGGTTTCAGAAACAGTCCAGTCATCAGGACGACTGGGTGGGCATGTTGCACCGTGTGTAGTAGCGTTGATGAGACCAGAAACGACGGGATCCTGCGGCGCTGCGAAACGTAGCTTTCCCACGGGTGGTGCAGCGTACTGAATGCCCTTCCAGGCAGATACTCCAGCTTGGAGTCAACGACAGCTCCCTGATATTTCGCGTAACCAACATCGACGACAGTATCGACGGCCTGTACGATTGAAGACAAGCTCGCTCCGACGGCGAGTAATTGGTGAATGTGCCTCATATTCAAGACGAGTGAAGACGGCAAGGAAGAAATGAACGGAAGCAGGAGATATTCCTGAGAGTAATAAGTGTAAGAAACGCTCAGCTGCTACTCTATTGATTCCTTCCTCTGGTGGCTATTTGAACAAATTCCTCCAAATGTTCATGCAACTCCTTGAAACATGCTAAGCCTGTTATAGCAACAATGTGATAACCTACTAAACTTTGTTTCGGTCCGTAAGTAGAATAGACAATGACATTGCCGTATGCGTTCATGCCCCTATGCCGTTGGAGTCGGAACGTTAAGTCAGCAACACGGCATACCAACCGTTTCATATTGGAATTGAAGGTAGGTAGAACCCAACCGTGCCTGACGAAATCACACATCCTAGATTCCATGCCTGATAACCAATGACATTCGTCGGCGGTCTCTTGCGCACTAATGTACGGCTTGAAACGGAGTGTTGCTGTGAAAGTGCAAAGGGGCGAACGCGCGGGGAAGTCAACGTCAGCAATCTAAGTAAGGCAAGTGCAGCGGCCCGAGTATCGAAAATCTCTTGAAGCGCCAGACATGGCGCAGTTCGCCGGAACATCCAGTAAGGGGTGTTTGTATCCCAATCGATATTACGGCGGGTAGCTTAATCTGCACCGCGTTAAGGTGTTCTTCTTACTATGTAGTTGCTACTATAGCTTGGGATTCTGCTTTTACGACGAGTCACTCGAGACAAACCATGTCAGCAAACAGAAGTAGTAGCCAATCGGATAGAAAGGTATTCTATAGCTGTCTTGCAGGCTTCTTAAATGATGGTACATGGATTTGTATGTATGTATGTATGTTCACATGTACTGCGGGTTGGCACATACGACGGAACATACAGGGGGGCGGCAGGGGTGCATACCTCGCTTCCCAGCCACTAATTGTGAACATGTAGGAAGACGAGTGTTGTTACTTGACAAAATCCAACGAAACGAGTGGATATATACTTTTTTGCTGTGCAAGTCATCCTAGGACGCATTATTTCTGAGCATTTATAGATGTTCAATAATGTGAAAATCCATCCCCAAATCACCTAAGCCATTGTTGAGCATACGAAATCAGCCAGTCCCTGCCGTCAACGTCAGATAATATTCTATGATTAAATGATAGTTGGAAGAATGTTTTTACTTACACAATTTGGGCCCAGGAATAGGATAAACTGGCTTCGACTCATCATTGTAGATGTTGTAGTGGATCCCAGGATCTTCTGCATTGTAGAGGGAAGTTCCTACCACTCCTTCAGGAGTTGCTATGCCATTTCCTGTGATCTTGATATTTGCGCACTGCGGGTAGAGCTGGGCTGCGCCGACATCGTACGCTGAATGCAAAGCAATGATTTCGTTGCGAACAACATAATCACCGGCCTTGATAGAAGCAGGAATAGTAACCGACCAGGCTCCGTTCGCAGCGCGCAGTACACCATCAGCCCAAGTTCCGACCTTGCCACCGCCTGTACCCAGAGACAATTGACCTAGCTCGGCAATCTTGAACCACTTGAGTTTGGCTTTGTCCACTGTAGTACAGTCCCCATTGCAGGCTGCTAGATAAGTCATGATGGGTCCGTGATGAGAATCTGGCCAAACAGTCCAATGCAAGGTGATGTTGCTGCCCGCGGCCACAGGGTTTGCATATATTTTGGCGTTCGTAGCATTGATCGAGCAAATGATATCAGGATTGTTGACATTTTTGCTGTAGACTGGGCCTGTGTCGTCGTTCCAAGCTGGCCAGGCAATAGTGCCTTGATCAGGAACCCATGGTGCAGCTGTAGGATTGAAACCGGTATGAGTATTTCCTGAGATATTCCATACATCGATCCATCCATGTCCAAAGACTGTCGTTACTGAGCCCAGGATAGCGCTAAGAATTGCTGTTTTGCACACCTTAGAATTTTGGTGAGGGAAAATAGCTAATAACAAGTGGCACAACGGTGACTCAAAATACAACTAATGGTTTTTGGAAATATATCCTGTGATGAGATGCTTCGCGCAGTACTTATTCGCAGTTATGCCGGAACTAAATTCTTTACACGGTCAACTGACACCAGGTTTGATGACCATGGGTTGAGGACTTGGTGTGGTTAATAAGTGCTAGTGGAGTTTTAGATTGGCTGGGCAATGATCATCACCTACTCAAGGCAGTCAGCGTCAAAATTTGATTGGCTGGTTGGGTAAACTTTCTGATAAGTGCATAGCACTGAAATGAAGCCGTTATAACGCAAATAATCTATTTGCATAATTTTACTCCAATGGAATTTTATCACAACTTACACATCACGGGTCTAGGCCCGCACTTGCCATGTTGCAACAGCAATAGAGTGAAAGTATGTGATTGCACAATTGGTAAGAAGCTCCAAGACTATCCTTCATTCGGTTGATATTGTTTGTCAAGAATATATAATGTTCAAAAGCAAATGCATTATTTCAACGCGTAGCAGTTGCTGACATACGTGTTCAAGATCATTCACAGGTGGTCCAAGAAAAGGGAAGATTGTATTGGAGCGATTGCGCGAGTTTCAAATTGGAGAAGAGAAGTCATTTGGCTAGCCTGGCTAGGACAAGATGGCTCATGGGTAACTGAAATGAAGGTAGGGAACGAAGTCAGTTGCATTATTGGCGGGTTTCATTCTACTACGTACGGTGGCTCGACTCTAGCTTGCAAAGAATGTGATAGTAGTTGATCGACTGTATGATCTCCAAATGATTCAGGTTATGTCGATCCACCCTGGCTGCGCCCAATATCAACCGTACGCCAGCTCTAATCGAGTCTGCGAAAACTTTCTGTATACATCTATCTTATTACCACAATCTAGGTAGATTATTCCGCCAGCACTTAGCGCGTAATCCTTATCCTTATCGAAAGTTTTCCATACTATCCAACTAACCTATTATCGGTTTGTTGTCCGCTAGACAGTCCTCGACACCCCTATCTTACTCCTAACACTGTATCTAATAATCCATATTTATGGAGGTCCGGGTCGTGGATTCTCTATGGAAGGCTACCCTCGTCTTCCCTCCAACCAACACCCTTTTATCCCTGCCCCTCAACTCGGCAAACATGACGTCAGCGGCCCATTTCCCACTTTCGCATACCCACCATACCCCATCTTGAAAGTCTTACTGAACCGTTGCCATTTCCCCGCTATCTTTTGCTTCTTCTGAAAAAATCGGTCCGTTTCGCTATCTAACTATTGTAACAAAGAGCAAACAAGCAGACCTATTTACACTCATACAATTCCATCTCTCACCCCCCTTGTCATCGCTCCTTTGAACGACGCTCAACACTTTTCCCCTAGCGCCCAAATGAAAGAAAAAGCCGCTCCACCGCTACTCACGACAAAAGTAAGCTAACTAGGGGAAAATAAGCAAAAGCAAAGAAGGCGAAAATGGGTATACCGTACTCGCGCCAGATCAACGCTGCATTTGAACAAGTGACGCCGCTCGTCGCAGCCGGCTTCACGGTTTTACGTACAACGCGCGACATCTCCATCCTACTAGTCTTAATGGGGGTAGCTGGTTCGATACGAATAACGTCATTCGATTAAATAAAGCCTTGCTATAGCTCTTCTAAATCTTTATGGATAGTGAAACTAAAAGCTACAATCAATATCCCTATTTATGTATGTATGACTAGTAGCTAAGGTACTAAATTCCTATACTCGTATCAAATTGCTTGCTAGTAAACTAAATATGGTTTATTTCTGATTTGCCTGGAGAATCTGGTCAATCTCGTCCTTATGCTTACTGAAATTGTCTTCTAGAGCCTCAAACATGGCGGAGTTGTGCAAATGCTTGTTCTCGTGATTCCAAGCCCAGTCGGTGATAGTGAGTTGCCTTGCGCTCTCGACCATAAATGCCATGGCGCCCTTGGAGATTTGGTGAACAGGTGCTTCATGTTCGACTGCTCCTACGTACTCTTCTTGTGCTGCTTAATGTTAGTATCTGCTGCTTGTTATGCACGTACGAAACGAGTTTGACTGACAAATACCGTGAGGGACGAATCCACTATCCAGTGAAATACCTCCAGGGTTGAATGCATCTGAACGACCATCGTATCCACCATAGATCAGGCCTATGAGTTCGGAAGCGGCATTGCGGTGGAAGCTTGGTGGGCGGTAAGTGTGGCTGGTCACGTCCCAGCGTGGGCCCAAGGCCAAAAAGTCGACAAGTGGCGTGAGGGGGTCCCGGGATGGCGCAGTGAGCACGGTGAAAATTGAGGGGTCCAAATGGTCAACTATGTATCGTTGGTATTAGGGTATTGGCACGTTAATGTTAACCCATTGAAAGGATGACACGCACCTGTTACTGAACCGACAACAACAAACTTTGTCAAGTCGTACTTGAAGGGGACGTAGTTACCTTGCCAGGCAACAACGTTGAATGGGCTAAAGTCTTGATTTGCTTTGAATAGCCTACCGTTAACCCTGTTGATGATCTCCCATGGGTTGTCGTCGATATCGTACTTAGCAACCGGGGAAAGAAAATCCCTGATGTTAGCCATACCGTTCGAACCAACCAGGCCTAATGTCCAAATCAGCATTGATTCTCTTTGCGTGAGCGTAGAACCCCTAACCCCACACGGAGAAACGGAGGAGAGAGAGACGTGGGGGAGCCAATCAATACAAGGTAAGAAAGAGGGAAGAGGTTAACTTACCGCCATCGGGCAGTTGAAAGGCAGATCCCCAGATTTCAGTAATATAGCCCCTTGAAGAACCCTCAACACCAATCCTGAACCTACATCCCTTTTGGAGGACACAAATTTCACCAGGCTGCACATACAGCATACCAAATTCAGTCTGGATGTCCAAGTTACCCTCCTGAGGAACAATCAACCAGTCTCCATCCGAGTTGACGAAAGCACGCCTGTCCATGCTCTTATTGCATGCGTAGATGTGCACAGCAAGACCCTCTCTCAGCGACGGGTCACCGGATCCGCAAATAGTCTTAAGTCCATCGATGAGGTCAACTTCGCCCGTAGTTGGGAGCTCGAACGGACGCCATGCGATCTGTGCGGAGGATACGTGGATCTTGGGGTTGAGAGGGAGGAAGCAGGATTCAATGTCTTTGTTGTCAGGTAGTTGGTCCTGTTGCCGTCAGCCCTGAATGTTGTCATTTTTGATGTGCAACAAAAACTTACGAATCCCTTATGGGCAAGCGAAGGTCTAGCACGGTAGAACCTTTGAAAACTTGATTAGCATTGATTATCCACCTCCCCAAAATTCCATTCCAGTAATTCGTATTGCGTTTGCAACTGGGGACATTTTGAGATTAGAATTAGATTCGACTCCAATCTTACCAAGATCGCTTGTTTAAATGCCTAGGGGCGACGAAAGCAGAACCAGAGATCAGCTCAGCGTACAAACCAAACCTTACCACACGAGGTTGGTTCTGGCCTCTGGGAATCGTTCCAGGAACAGCTTCAGAGACGAAATGGTTTCCGATTCCAGCTTGGTACTGAGAAGACGCTGTCAGCCTTGAGATATCCAAAGTAAAAGTTCGAGTATCCTCACCTCATAAGGGTCATTCTTCCTAGTATCGAAACTGGGGATTGTTCCATCCTTCTGGGTTTCTGCCCAGTGGAAGATATTCTTGTAGTCTTCCATGGTTTCCAGTTTCTGGTTCGACATGGTGTGTAGATAAGTATTAAGTGTAATGAATACGTTAGTGGAATCCAATTCTCAACTGAGGGAGACTGATGAGGTGCTGGAACAGAGCAGACGGTGGCTTTAAATATCTTATGACCCTAAATACCATCACTACTACCGAGGGCATACGTCTGCGGAGCCCAGCAGTAGATGGGCCGTGTGCTTGGTACGCCAATGATGCTAGTCCATTTCAGGATAAAGAGTGCATGTTTTGGTATCACCGGATACTTGTAAAGAGCGAGTGCCGGTGAGTTTGTACAACTCATCTGACCCGAGGACAGACCTTGCAACAGAAAGGCTGCTGTTCATCCTAAATTACCTTTTTCTACCGTTCTGGTGGAGATTCGCTGTAAACTCAAGACCGAAGACCGAACATGGAACGCAAAGAGCAAGCACGAGACTATGTGCATGCTTTAGCGCCACGCGTCACCTTTCTTGGCAGTATGAAGACGGTCTCGGAACGTGACGAATACCACTACACCAATTGCCCTTACGTCCATTTGTCAGACCACGGATCTCGGAAGGTTAGTATCGTACAGGGAACATTATGACAAGGTTGCGTCTGCACGCTACTATTTTCATTGCTTATTAGAAAGTGTCGATCTTATGAAGTCTAGACAAAACATCCACGTAGACTACATGAAAGAAGCTAGTCACCATCGACGATACGATGCTAGTACTATTACTACAAAATGACTCCTTTGGTCGAGATCCAACCCAAACTCTTTACACCCATTACACCCAATCAACTGCATCACTATCTTTCCCTATCATCTGCCGTACGCTCCAGAGGCATAGCATGGCACCAACAGTTTCCGATTTGGAGGCAATCGCCTCGACCTTCCTCAAGTCGTTCGATACTCTTTCGCCAGACACCTCTTTCCGTGCTCCAACATGCATGACCGTCTTTGCGCCTGCCTCGGCCAACATATTGCCAAAGAACAACGCTGAATTTTCCACTCATATGACCAACGTACTCAAGCCAATCCTTACAAGCCTTCCATTTTCTCCCAAAGAGATTCATGTGAACGAGGCTAAACGTCAAATCACTATTTGGGCTACTGCTATAGCACAGTTTCGTCCAGAAGTTATGGATGGTGATCCAGCAGAGTGGATCCGCACTCGCGAGTATATCTTCATTTTGGATGTTAGTGAAGAAGGAAAGATAACTCGCGTCCTGGAATTTATTGACACCCAAGTGGCGAAGGAGATGAAGGCATTGGTGGAAAGGGCGATAGAGAATTTGAAAGCAAATACAAACAAGTAAAAATAGGGAAACTTCAAGAGTTACTTACGCGAACGTGTTTTGATGCTACTGTATGGAAAATTAAACGCAAGACATCGACAATTTATTCTTGTAGAAGTATTCTTACTGTCCTTTCTTATGACTTCCGATCTTCATCGACAATCTTTCGTTATTACACCGGCACAAGAAATTGCACAGATGGTTCTTGTAGAAGACTAGTCACTGTGAACGATTGTCTCGTCCTGACGGTGCCTAGCTCCCTGCCACTTAGCATCGCGTGCGCATGTGATATAACATGAATAGTCTATTGCTAAGAGCTCTGGGGTCTTTAAAATGAAACATGTAAATTGAAACCTTCACATCATGGGGTGAGTGCAAGAACGTAGTTTTCATGTCCGTAAGTTCCGTTAGCTCCGTGAGTGGCGTTAGCTCCGCAGGCTCTGCATACCATGATGTGATAGCGGTCTGTTCTAAGTAAGTAGTAGTATTGCGCGTCCGTGCACGGTACCTGCATCGGGGCATCCGCATCCGCATAGTAGTACAAATTCGGACCTCGGACATTAGGTCTGTCCGCGTCGAAGATGCATGGTACATATTAGCCATTTTTGGATCTTTCAAACGTTCTCTGGCCCTTTGCGCCTCAAAAACACATCTTTACTTATTTCATATTCGTTTTCTACTGCGACGCAGCCTCATCCACCAACCCACTCTACTACCTTTCTGCACCATAGCGTGATAAGCTCATCCCAGAGAGAACTTAGCATTTAAATTCCAGCTCGTTACCTTGCTTTGTCACGCTGTCTTTCACCCCCTATGTCTTTCTACAAATCTGTGCACCTCGTCGAGCGTCCAACAGACCATGTTGTACCAGACCAAATATTTGCCTTCAAAACACATCGTATTCCAGAGTCTATTAATGATGGCGAGATCCTGTTGCAAATACTCTACCTCTCTGTCGACCCTGCTATGCGCCGCTGGATGGATGGATCAAATTACTCTGCGCCACCGCTAATCGAGCTTGGGGGAGTCATGCGCGGCTCTGGCATCGGCATTGTGACAGCGTCAAAATCGTCAAACTTTCCCGTCGGTTCGTATGCGAGCGGGATGTGTGGATGGACAGAATACGCTTTAATGAGAGAGAAGGATGTTGATGCACTTGATCTCCCCAAGGGGGTCAGGCTGACCGACCATCTAGGCGTTCTAGGACTGACGTCTCTGACGGCGTATTTCGGTATCTTAGACATTGGAAATGTCAAGAAGGGGGATTTTGTCGTTGTTTCTGGCGCTGCGGGAGCGGTGGGTAGCGTGGTTGGTCAGATTGCTAAGATTCACGGGGCAACGGTTTTGGGTCTTGCTGGTTCGGGCGAAAAGGCTCAGCTAATGAAGAAAGAGCTTGGATTCGATTTTGCTCTAAACTACAAGGACGCGGATTTTGCACAAAAGTTTACCGACACTACTAAAGACTTGGTTGATGTCTACTTTGACAATGGTAAGTCACTGATTTTCTTGCTCATGATTAAATCTTTCACTGACGCTAAGCAGTTGGCGGCGAGATTCTCGATCTTGCCCTTTCGAGAGCAAAGCCCCATTCTAGATTTGTCATGTGCGGTGCTACGAGCGAATATAACAGAGCCAAGCCAAAGGGCCTTATTGTAAGTCTCTACCCATAGTCTATTTTTCGTCCTCTAGCTCACATTTTCCAGAACTATCCCATGATTATTGCCAAGCGAATCACGTGAGTAGATTTTCTCGGAGGTTAACAACTATGTTTTCACTCTAGACTGAAATATCAATAGTATGCAAGGTTTCACGGTATTGGACTACCCCGATCGTTTCCAGGAAGCAAAAGAGCAGTTGGCCGAATGGCTCCTACAAGGGAAACTTAAGCGAAAGGAAACCATTATCAAGGGCGGTCTGGGAAATGCACCACAGGCCCTATTAGACTTGTTCGATGGAAAGAACACAGGTAGGTTAGGGACGACGTATGTTCAGACTATCGCCAATCAAGTGTTACAGGAAAAACGATGATCGAAGTTCAAGAACTGGAGGGATAGTGAAGAGGGTTAGAATACTTGGGAGCTGGCAGTCACTTTTGATGCCTTTCAATCTTGTGGAAGTGATAAGTTCAGAATTGAGGAATAATTTGCTTACGGAAGCATACTGAATGAGGAGATGAACATGGATGTGGCGTGATAGACGAGTTCCACCAATTTAGAGTCCCTGGGGATTTATTGGGGGCTTAATGTGAAGCCTTCGTGTTAATGAAAGGATCGGACTAATAGAGTTTGAAAGACACGAAAGACTTTGCATACAATTTACAAGCAAAACCATGAAAACAGGGTTTTCCCTTGTTTTCTGGATAAGAATGTCTACTGTGCTAATGCTGGTCGAAACCCTCTCCCCCGCCGTATCTTCACACAACCACCTGTACCACCCGAAGACGTAAGGCGGATAAATATTAGAGTTCCGTTTGACTAGCTTCTCTTACCAGCGTCTTATTATATAATCTCTTATTTTAGCTAATCGTCACTATATGGCTACAGCTTTGTTACATACTTATATATAAAAGATTAAGTTCTATTAGATCTTAATATATTAAATTACTGATAGCTACTTCTTAAGTAGTAAATCTCATTAGATGGCAGAAATCTTATCAAGATACTATAGTAATATTTTAATCATAGTATGGATTACTAAGACTTGTTCTGTAATCAGAATATTATAAATAGCTAGAATGAGACATGAATATTCTATATGAAAAATAACGTATAGAGATTTAAAAGCTAAATCGAAATATTAATTATTACTATAGTATTGTAAGGGGCTGCGCTCCGGGGAGCAATCGCGAGGTATACAAGAGGTTGTATTCGATAAGGAGCTATCTACTCTGCTTACGTGGTGTTTGTTTACTTGTCGGAGAAAGGTTATGCCGGTGTATCTGAGCGCGTTGTCTG